CATCACCCATCGTGCTTTACACTCTTTCTCATAAAATCATACACGGCATCACCCTTCGTACTTTAACACTCTCTCACCAAAATAATACATGGCATCACTCTTCGTGGTTTAACACTCTCCCTTACCCAAACAACAATCACAAGCAATAAGGCAAGGAAATGAAAAAAAATCAATAAAATCCCGCAAGGGAACAATAGTTCAACAATCAAATCCCGGCATGGGAACAATATCAAAAGCATCAACATCCCGACAAGGGAGATAGCATTAAAAGCAACAACATCCCGGCAAGGGAGACAATATAATGATTCGCTTCTCTTTTTCACTTTTAATTCATGACTCACTTCACAACTTGAGCCAATGTTATATAAGATTCAATTGCCAATTATACTTCCACAATTCATTAACAACTTGAGCCAACACTCTTCAATACTCAAATACCGCCATTACTTCCACAAATTTTGCTCAACAATAGAAATCATCACCAAAGGTCATGAACAATACAAATGGAGTCCAAATAATCATAAATTAAGACTCACCGGCATGCTTGACACTAACGTATAGATACTCGTCACCATGCTTATACGTCGTACTCAACAAATAACACATAGCAAATAGGACACAACTCCTGATCCATCAAGCTAAGGTTAGACCAAACACTTACCTCGATGCCACAAATACAAGTCAAGTCTCAACTATCGCTTTACCTCTTGATTCCACCCCGACTTCGCTCATATCTAGCCACAAGTTACGTAATTACATCAATAAATGCTAAATGAATAAATTCTAATGCATGAAAATAGGTTTTATGAAAACTTCCTCAAGAATTCAAAAATCGACCTTGGGCCCGCTTGGTCCAAACCTGAAATTCGGACCAAAACCTGATTACCATTCACCCCCGAGCCCGGATATATAATTGGTTTTGGAATCCGACCTCAATTTGAGGTCTAAATCCCCAAATTTCAATATTCTTAGGTTTTACCCAAAATTCCCAATTCACCAAGAAAACCCTAGATTCTAGGATGAAATCTTGTAAAAAGAAGTTAAGGAGTAAAGAAAATGAGTTAAAAATTACTTACTAATGTTTTGGAGAAGAAAGAGTGTTTGAAAAATCGCCTCTTACGTTTTTAGGGTTTTGAAAAGTGAAAAATAACTGAAAGTCCTGTTTAAATATACCTCTCTCAGACCCTCTTCGCGGACCGCACAAAAAGGATTGTGGTCGTGGAGCTCCACCGCTGAGTGCAAAAAATCGAGTGTGGCCGCAAAGTCCCCACTCCGGTCGCACAAAATCATTGCGGGACACACAGGCTGGTTCATAGATCTACAACTTCTCTGAACCTTCATCAGCTATGTTCTAAGTCTAAAACATCCTAAAACCTATCCAAAACTCATCCGAGCCCTCGGAGCTCCAAACCAAATATGCATACTAACTCAAAAACATCATATGGACTTACTCGTGCGATCAAATCGCCAAATTAACACCTTTAAAGATGAATTTAGAATCAAAATCAAATAAATAACTCATAAACTCTTAAGTTCCATTCTTTTAACAACCGAGGGTCCGATTCACGTCGTTTCAAGTGCGTTTCTTACCAAATTTCACAGACTCAACTTAAACCACATATAAGACATGTACCGGGCTCGGAAACCAGAATACTGGCCCGATACCATAAATTTCAAACACATTTCATTTCCAAAAATTCATAAATATTCCAGAAAATAATTTTCTTTAAAAATTCATTTCTCGGTCTTGGGACCTCGGAATTCAATTCTGGGCATACGCTCAAGTCCCATATTTTCCTACGGACCCTCCGGGACCATCAAATCACGGGTCCGAATCTGTTTACTCAAAATATTGACTGAAGTCAACTTAAATTCATTTTAAAGGTAAAATTCATCATTTTTCACAAAGGTTTACATAATGGCTCGGCTACGCGTCCGGACTACGCATTCAAATCGAGGTGAGATAAAGAGAGGTTTTTAAGGCCTCGAAACACAGAATTTATTTCTAAAACAAGTGATGACCTGAAAGGTCATCACAAGATAGAAATTTGTAAAATTATATACAGAAGATTAAAAAAATAAACAGTAATCGGTAAAGACCCCCACGTATTAACAAACAACATAAAAGCCCTAATTTAACCCTATTCAGCATGCATGCAAAAATCACAATCAATATAAAAGCCCTGATTTTACCCTAACCGAAAGAGGCACACATACCTTCAAACTCGGAGTGAAAACAACAGAAATATTGGCGAGAATCAAAGATACACAGTAGCTTTTAGCTCCTCCACAGTAGCTTTTAGCAGCACCTCAACGGAGAACCCTATCTACTCACAAAATCAAGCTCAAGAAGGCACAGTCATCTCTGTCATTGATGATGGGAGTGAAGCGGTTAACCCTAGTTTTTCTATGTTATCGACGAAATGAATGATGGTAATAGGGATGGGTTAAATTCGATGGATTAATTTTAAAGGCGGGTTGGGTATTCTAATTGGATACACGAATTATTCCAATGTGTACATCCACATCAGCAAGCATTTACATGTATATGGCGTGTGTATGCACGATAGAAAGATTTACTAGGTTAGGGGTAATAAAATCCGAAAAAGTAAGCATAGGGGGGTAATTAAAATCACGTATAGTTAAGGTGTACACTCATTAAAAAGTGTCAAATTTAGGGAGGTCTTTACCTATTCTGCCTTCTTTTTACTGTACCAAGTAAGGATATAGAAGATAAATGGCCATCCGGTTTCCTGTAGAAGCAAAAAATTTGGAAAGTACCTCATTTATTTAACTAAATTCTGGTGCCAAAGTGTAGTCTAACTTACTGACCAAAATTATGGGAATATAGTTCGGTGTTCAATTTATTAAACATCTCCTGATGTGGAATTTTAGCATCCATCTCCTAGAACATGTTCACAGAAAGAGGCTTCTATGAATGCTACAATAATATATGAAAATCAAAATGACCGTACAATCGAATTAAGCATCTACTTAACTAACAAAAGAAAAATAACGTATATTAATTAGAAATAATACAAAAAAAATATTCAGTTAATCATCGTGAAAGATCTATGCTATGAGGCTTTATTTAGCTTGGAATTCATGCCAATTGCTATTTCCTTCTAGTCTTTTTCTCTTTTTTATTTTATTTTATATATAAGCAGATTTAGAATATATACTTTTCAACACCAAAACTCATTAGATTCCAACATCAGCTTCTAATCCTCTATCATACTTTTCTTAATTAGGAGAATTTCAACACCAACCTCCTTAGACTCCAATGGAAATTACTAACCCTTTATCCCACTTTTCTTAACGAGATTTAGAATATTTTTCGACAACATAACTTGTAAGATTTCAACAGAAGTTCAAATCATTTCTCCTACAATAAATTTTGAAACTTCTAAACAAGAATAGGTAAGGAGGACAGAGCACTGCTAAAGCTTTTCCCAAATGTCAAAACACCAATCCATTAAAAGTCTATAAAAGATATCAAACGAATCATCTTTGGACTAGATAAAAATCTTAAAATTGTTCTACTACATCAAAGCACAATTAAGCTCATACTCTCAGAAAATCTGAAGACGTCTCTGATTTATTTTTATAAAATTGTATATAATCAGACACATCTACAATAAAAATAAAAATCTATCGAAAAATTACAACTAATTATATTTGTTCTTATTGACAATAAAGCACAAAAAATGTAGACAACATATAAGTCAAATATATAAAAGGCTTGAGTATGATGAATTAATTTTGGCTGTAACAATTATAAATTAACCCATAAAATTTATCTTACACTATTGAAATACATGTCAACAGGATGAAAAAATACAATAGAATATGAAAATTGAGTACACCTTGGCATGTGGAACTAACACAATATTAGGTGAATTAGTGGAGAATGCAGCCTGTTGTTCTGCAACTAATTTTGTTGGAGAAGCAAAAATAAATTAACAGAAAGGTTGTGCTCCAAGTTGCTTCAATAACAAACAAAAGACAATACATTAGCCAGACCCCACAAACTTTAATTCGCAAAATATTAGAGCTAATTCCAGCAAAATATGATATCTGCAATATGGAAACAAAATGAAAATCTTTTGCTGCCTTGGAAATTGAGAATTCATGATGATAATAATCTTGAGAATAAATTGAAAAAGTTATTGTTCAGTTCCTTTCTTGAAGTTTAAAGTTGTCACTATTGATATGTTGCCACAACGGATTCAATTTCACTAGGCAATATTTCCCTGATGCGTCTTCTTATCAGCTGCATCGGGGGGGGGGGGGGGGTTCTTGGTAGCTTCGCGGGTATCATCATCTTCTTTAACAGGAGGTAAAATACTTTTTCAAAAGTGTTAAAAACCATGAAAAAAGGTTAAGGTTAGGTGTAGGAATCCACGAAGTAGTTACTTCGTGCAGACTGGCTAAATAGTGTAGTGGTACTAATATTTAGTATTAGTTTTGTATTCACATAATAGAAACATCCAAAATGGAACAAATAACTTGGTGACATCTACTATTGGTCTTACCAAATTTACTAGAGTGAAATAAAAAGGAACAAGTTAGTGTTTAATCATTCATATATCTTCTGATATGGTCCGTGAAGAGCTCAAGCCATGCTGTATCTAGAGTAATATCATAATAATCATGAGGCTGCAATGAAATTGAAAGATTACTGGACAATCCTTCCAATAGAAAATCCATCAAATGGAAACATCTGAAACCATAGGCATGTGCAAAATATGATAAAACTTATATATGCACTTCTAGGATTTTTTTTTCTTTTATTCAAGGAGTCAATATATCCATGCTCATGAACTTTTTTATCTTAGCAAAAGTTGCAGACAAATAAAAACAAACTTCTAGGCATTTTGTGTTTTATTTAAATTTCTCCTAGTTTTACTATCTTGCACCTCAGGCAATTTGAATTATTTTTCCTACTCAAGAGCTCCAATTTGAATGTAGAGGAAACCAATTCCAAGTTTTCATAATAATAGTCAGAAAAATCAGAAGGATTTTATGATAGTTATACTTGATAAGAATAGCTAAAGATCTAACTACATTAGAGGTTATTACGAACATTGTATCTAAAGAATTCATATGATAATCAAGCTTCATAAGCTGAAGTTTGGCTAACCAAGAATTTTGATCTAAAAATACTAAACATGGCTTATCTTCTATATATTCTTGTTGGTGGTTCTAGTTTCAGCGTCACGTGTAATTTCAGATTTTGTAACTGCTTCTTCCATTTCTCGTCCAACTGTGCTTGGAAACTTCATTTCCTTTTGTTTCTTTCACCAGAACTTGTTGGAAAGATATGTTACTTTTTCAATATAAGATAAACCCAATAGTCTAGCTAGCATGCAAGTTGTCATAATTTCTCCAGAATATTTTTTTCAATTGAATTCGAAACAGTTGGTCTGACGGTTGTTCTTGGACATGCTTAACGCAGAGGATCTTCATCTGAAGATAAAATAATTCAAGTTTTTTAGATATAAAAGAGTAGGAGAAGAAAGATAAAATTAAAAGACCATACATACATAAAAAAAGGAATACTTTGATTTTCTGAAAGTATTATCCCCCAATCGAAAGATACCAAAGAATCTCAAAGTAGCTAAAGCAATACAAAGCCCTGCCCCGCAGAACTTGTTTGACTGCTGACTTAAGTCAGAAATATAAAAAAAGATTGATTAACCAATTAAAGATGAATATTTAAACAATCAAAGTATCATCATCTACACATGAAGTAGCCATGACTAATTCCAAATTTATAGGTACTGAAATTTTAGTAGATAAAATGTATAATTGGTTGAATATATACCTTGACGAAAATTGTTGTGTAGATTTCTTCAGCTGTCATTGAGAGCAACTTTTGTCCAAGATCACTAGAAATTGTAGCAATTATTAACCCACTTCATCTCAGTAAGATCAATTTAGAATAATCACTCACAGAAAAAAGTAAAAAATAATCACTCACATAAACAATATGCCAGTGAGACTACTTTCTAAAGAAGATCATTTTAGTACTGATTCTGATCCTTCGAGAAATTAAAAAAAAATCAGTTAAGTCGCAGAATCAAATTACAAAAGAAATTATGCAAAGTTAAAGAAAGTAAGTTGATGGATTTGAATAATTGAATGCATGGTTCTTCAACAGTAAGCCACTTAATTACCAAAATAAACTCAATCGAAACATCACAAATAATAACAGATATTAATAACAGAAAAATCTCAATTAATGTTATACGCTCACCCAACATTTGTTTCTCTCAAATTCTAGCAGGTCTAATTAATATGTCAATAAAGATGGGAAGAAATCACCAGCAAAAAAAAATCTCCTAAAGATCACTGATCAGTGAGGATTGAATCACCTCCATAAAAAGTTAGAGATGCAAAATGTAATCAGGGAAAACAATCTTCAATCTTTGTTGCACTAAGGATCAGATACCAAACATGTATGAGAATATCAGATACCAAAAAGAATCCAAAAAGGGAGTGAGAGAGAGAGAGAGTAGGAGACTAATATATACCCAGCAGATAGCGATTAGCAACTAAAACGGTGCAACAAACAATAAAACAGATGCAAGGAAAAACTGACCAGAACGAAACTCACACTTTGAATATGTGAACACCATAGAGGGAATTAGAAAATATTTGAGAAACTCTCAAAAAGAAGAAACATATCAAACAGATAAAGAATTAGAAGAAAAGGTGATTGGATTCCACAATGACCATGGTAGAGTATCAAAAAAGCAAGACGCGTGTTTATAGCATAGCAGTACACGTCTTTGGAATTGAGAATATAATTACCAATTTAACCCTAGAAGAGTTCGTAATGTTGAGAGTACAACTCTCAATACTTTTTGTACAACCTCCTAGAGCAGTGTTCGTCCTTCCAAACTCTAATTTATAAATAGTAAAAATAGTATCTTGCCTAACTTTGTGTGAGGGAGTGATTTGAGTCATTTGTGCTAATTGTGTCATGTGAAGGCTGTGCACGATAGGTGACGATTACGTACTTGGGCTTAATTATGGAAATTTTACCGTTTAGGGCTTTTAGGTTCTTGTGTTCATTAGATATGAAGTTGTTTTGTCATATTAAATCCTCCATTTACTAGATTCACTCTTACTTGTATTATTTAGAATTAATTGATTCATATTCTACCCTTATTGCCAATTAAACTCTTATGTGCCTTAACTGAAGTTGTTGTCTCTTTTTTTGTCTTATTATCACTTCCGTAATTGCTTAACCCTAATTGGAGTTATTATTATATCTTTTGTAATTTCTTAACCCTAATTGAAGTTATTATTATATCTTCCGTAATTGCTTAACCCTAATTGAAGTTATCATTATCTCTTCTGTAATTGCTTAGCTTTAATTGAAGTTATTAGTAGCTCTTCCGTAATTGCTTAACCTTAAATGAGATTAATATTATCTCTTCTGTAATTGCTTAGCTTTAATTGAAGTTATTAGTAGCTCTTCCGTAATTGCTTAACCTTAAATGAGATTAATATTATCTCTTCTGTAATTGCTTATCCTTAATTGAAGTTTGTTATCCCTTTCATTATTGACGTATTCTTATTTTGGGGTAATTGATTCATGCTATCTCTCTTATCGTCGAATTGTACTTTTGTGGAATCATTTTTGCACATTATCTCTTCCTTGTTGGGCTATTCTTTTTGAGACTATTATTCCCTGGTGTATCTTTCTTTGTGAGCTCGTTCTTCCGTTTCTTTGTGTTCTGCATTTCTTGTATTGATTTACTTGTTGTATTCTCGTGTTATGGTTATTGTTGTTGTTGTACTTAGTGTTGTTGAGCCGAGGGCTATGCGTGGTTTTGGTATTGAAACAGTTTTGAGGAAATATTGTGGCATATGGGCACATGTTGTGAAAGTTATTTTATTGTGTTTTTATGTTTTGGCACATGTGGTATTGTTGTGAGGATTATTCGGGTGTTTGCATATGATTTGTCCGTGCTATTATTATTATTGATATTTTCACATGCGACGTGACAAGGCGGATTATATATAGGTGGGTTTCCACATGTGGTGAGACAAGGGGGGAATATTATTGTGTGCGTACGGCGAGATAAGGCGGGCATTTACTCTACTATTACGTACGTGGCGAGATAAGGTGGGTTATGTCGGAGAATGATTTGTGATGACTTCTGATGGCCTGAGGGCATTGTTATTATTGTTATTTGTGTAGTGATGTGCCTATCCTGTGTGAGTTACACCGTGTACATTTTGTGGTGATCGTTTCTTATGCGTCATTCATTGCCTCTACTCTTACTTGTTGACTTCAATTATGGTAGAACACTCGCACAAGCATACACGTAATAAATCACCCATATCGGTTTAAGAAGATGAATCCTGATGTTATTGACCATTTACATGTACTCCCGTGTACTTGCCTTCTGTGAGAGTTATCCTATTGGCATGTGAGTTGTCCGTACAATCATGAGTCATTGTTATCGTTGGCACGTAAGTGGTCCATGCAAATATTAGATATTGTCACTCTCTTGGCACATGAGCCGTCCGTGAGGTTACAACTGTGGGCACAATATGCCAAGTGATTAGGGTTCATGAATTGACACCCGTGATTTGTGATTATGAGGTTTGGTACCTCGTGGAAATTCTTAAATAAATATGGTGTAAAAGCGGTTGTCTTAATGAGTTGCTACTTATTTTTGTTTTATTTGGCTTCATCATACTTAGACTGTGTTCAGCTTAATCTACAACATTAGTACATGTTTGCTTCTTGTTGCTAATTGTTTTTTCTAGTGTTTCATTGCGAGTATTGTTTTGTCTTCCTTACCATGCTAGCTTTATATTAATATTGTTTTCCTGTTAGTTCACCTTCATAGTTGTTCAGGTTGTTCAGTCTGACTCTCCCTCATCATTACTCCACCGAAGTTAGTCTTGATACTTACTGGGTACCGCTATGGTGTACTCATGCTACGCTTCTGCACACTTTTGTGCAGATTCAGGTACCATGGAGGTTTATTGACTATTAGCTAGTTGATGGGGCTTTGTTGTGGGGACTCAAGGTAAACCTATTGTTGTGTTCGCAGGCCTCAGTATAGCTCATGACTTGTACTACCATTTTTTAGATTGTTGGCTTGTAAAGAAAATTTCTGTTTCCTATTTAGTAGTTGTTGGTTGAGTTACTAGTAATTCAGCATGTGTTACGCTTACCTAGTCCCTAAGATAAGGTGTCATCACGAAATGCTACGGAGAAAAATTGGGGTCGTGACACTTTCTTTCAATTCCCCATTGCTTTTCATGAGACTTCAATATCAAATTTTGGATTTTCACAGTAGAAATTATGGATTTGGGTGGAAATTAGGGATTTTGTAAAATTGAGAATTAGACCTCAAATTAAGGTCGGATTTCAAAACAAATCACATAATGGGGTTCAGGTTGAATGGGTAATCGGGTTTTAGTTCGAATTTCGAGTTTTGACCAAGCATGCCCACGGTTGACCTTGAGTAGCTTCACTTCATGTATTATGACTTGTACGTGTAATTGGAATTGAATTCCGGAAAGTTCAAAGTTGATCCGGATGGAATATTCTAATTTCGGAAGCTTAAAGTTGGAAAAATTGACTAAGGTTTGACTTTTGAGTAAACGACCTCAAATTCAAGATTTGAAGGTTCCAATATGTTCGTATGATGACTTTGGACATGGGCGTATGTCTGGATCGGGTTTTGAATGACCCGGGAGCATTTCAGCGCTTATTGTGGAAAGTTGGCATTTTGGATGAATTTCATAAGTTTGGGTTGAAGTGGATTTTGATGTTATCGATGTCCGTTTGAGATTTCCAGCCTAGGAATAGCTCCGTATGGTGATTCTGGTCTTAGGAGCGCATCCGGATGTGGATTTGGAGGTCCGTCGATCATTTCGGGGTCATTTAGCGAAAGTTGAAAATTGAAGTTTTTGGGAAGTTTGACCAGGAGAGGACTATTTGATATCAAGGTCGGATTATAATTTCGAATGTGGGAATAGGTCTGTAATGTCATTTATGACTTGTGTGCGAAATTTGAATTCATTCCGGATTGATTTGATACGCTTCGGCGCAAATTATAGAATTTTAAAATTTCATAAATTATAATTCGATTCGAGGCGCGATTCATATTTTTAGCATTGTTTGATATGATTTGAGACCCCGACTAAGTTCGTATCATGTTTTGGGAGTCGGTGGTATGATTTGACGTGGTTCTGAGGGGCTTGGGTGTATTTTGGATCATTGGTTGAGAGACTAGTAAAGTTAAGAAATTTGGAGTTTGACCATGATCAATATCGGGTCAAAAAGACCTCTTTTCAGTATTTTGAGTGCGCGAACAGGTCCGTAGCGTGTTTTTTGATTGAAATTCATATATGGTTTGTGCCCGGGAGGTTCCGGATGAGTTTCGGGGTATTTTCGGATCACATCGAAGAAGTTTGGGTTTGCTGGTTTCTGGTGAGGCACTGTTCATTCGCAATTGTGTACACTATTCATTGTAATTGCGAAGACTGTTCATTGGATTTTAATGTTCATTCACAAATGCGAAGCTTTTGTCCGCAAATGTGAACCTGGGCAGATTGTTTTAAATCGGAATTTTGCTCATTTCACTGCTCATTTCACTCATTTCTCTCTTAGTTCGGGTGATTTTTGGAGATCTTCAAGGGGAGATTTTCATCAACTATTCCAAAAAGTAATATTCCCATATTATTAACTAACTACATGGATTCTACAAGGATTTAACCATTGAAATTAGTAGAAATTGTGAGATTTTGAAAGAAACATAGAAATTGGTATTTTTGGACTTTTACCGCAAAATTGGATATGGAATTAGGAATACATTATATATTTGAGTTCATGGTATTATGGGTAAAGTTTACCTTTGAAAATTTTCGGAATTCGAGCATGTGAGTCTGAGGGTTGACTTTATTGACTTTTCGAGCGGGGTTGAAATTGTTTAAATTGATTGATTATGAGTAATAGAGTATATTGGCAAAATACCTTAATACCCCCCTAAACTTGACACGGATTATTAGTTACAGCCTTAAACTATTCGTGGTCTTAAATACCCCCCCCTCAACTTGGCCTTTTGAGAGCCATTATCCCTTGGATGTTGATGTGGCAAAGAGTGTGGGTGCATTCGCATGCCACGTGAATTTTTCTGTATATGTGGTATTTTTTAAAAAATAAAATATATTTTTACCTTTTTAAGTATGTTACTTTACAGATAATTGTTTTTCGAATACAATTTATAATAAAATTTGGATAGAACTATATTATTTAGGCTAATTTTTTTTATTTGGTTAAAAATAATAAAATTTTGGAAAAATGCATAAGTACCCCCCCCCCCCAACCTATACCCGTATTACCAACTACACACTTTTTCTTTGCGGGAGTTCTATTACCCTCCTAAACTTATTTTAAATGGAATTATTTGTACTCTTAACGCTGACGTGGCAGAGTGTGTGTATTTCACTCTCCCAAAGGATAGTGAAAAGCAAGAAAAAACGATTTTCAGATTATTTTTTATTCTTTTTTACCATTTTTCTTACTTTTTCTTTTTCCTTTTCCTTTTCCTTTTTCTTTGTCTTTTTTTTTTTTACTTTTTTTTCGTTTCTTCTCTAATTCCGGCGGGTATTCATTGTGACTTTGTCTAACCGTTTTTCTTCCATTTTTTTCTTTTCACACACAAATTAAACTCTA